AACCGATAAGAAATACAAAAGTTATCAACTTTTAAATTACATTTATAATTCAATAGCTTATTGAAGGAAACAAATCAAAATTCAGGGATATATTAGTCACTTAGTGTCTCATTATGTAAAATTACAAAAAATTAAAGGGTTATATTAGTAAAAGTGATATTAAAATACATAAGTTAACTAAATAATATTTATAGAATACCCGAACCTAGATTATTAATTATTAATATATCAATATTATTTATCCAAACCTAATTACGAAGCATGATTCTTCGCCAAATAGGTTTCCGAAGCACCAGAAGCAGCCACGTAGGCTCCACTCATTCGAGAATTATATATAGGGAGGATTTATGTGCTTTTAATATTTTAAATAGACACGTTTTATGTAATTTTTCACTAACTTAAATTTCATATCACATTTTTCATAAATTACTTTATCTTAAATTCTATTACATATTAATCCACATTTTTAACTTTTTACATGTTATTTAATGCTTAACAATTTATTCAATGTTTGTTTATAAATTTATTAAGTTCATATTTGAAATTTAATTCAACATTAATCAAACCCACTGTTTTCAGTATTATCAATCAATCATTCTTACACATCATATCAATTTTAATTTGCTATTTTAACTAATCATCATTCTGCAACATTTCTCTCCTACTTTTATAGTTAATAATCAACTTTAATTATTTTATCTTAATTATTATTTTAGTATAAATTTAAAATTTTACTAACAACTAATTATAGAATTATGTAAAATTAACTCTGATTAATTAAAAAACGGTTATAACAAATATATTTGTATATGTGCATAGGGTTGTAAATGAGCCGAACCGCGAACCGAGCTCGAGCTTAGGGTGTTCGAGTTCGAGCCTTATCGAGCCGACCTGAGCCGAGTTCGGCTCGTTAGCCAAACGAGCTTTTAGTGAGCTCGAGCTCAGCTCGTTAAGGCCTCGAACTCGAACCGAACTCGAGCCTTAACGAGTCGAGCTCGAGCCGAGCCAAGCCAAACTCGTTTAATTTAACACCAGCACATTCCAGCAAACAATATAAATTGTTGGATATTCTTCCTTTCTAAACCTGTCCCGTGCTGCAAACTTTACCAGCCATGGCTTGTTCTTTGTCCACCAAGAGTTTCACATCTTTAAAACCTATGACCATTTTGGGTGATAATTCTCAGTCGCTTCGATCCCAGTTTGCTTCTTTCCCCCAAAACAAACCAATTTTCTTGAAATCCAGTTTTTCGTCTACAAGAGTGCCCAGAAAATTTAGCGGTAAGCTCCTGAATCCCTTAACCCAATTTTAATTTTCTTTTAATTTAATCAGTAAGTTTCTTATGTTGGTTACAGTTGTTCCTGTCTGATTAGCCCCTGTTAGTTTAATTCGATGCCAGATTCATTTATGCTTTTATTTTGATTAGAGAGAATTCAGTTCGGAGACTATTTATGATTGATGTTTCATTAGTGTACAGTCTAGGTAGCTAAGCCAAAAAAAAAAAAAAATGGTAATTTCTTGAATTGATGACTCAATCTTGCATATATAAAATGATGTGGATGATCTGTCTGAAACTGTTAATGGACATTTTGATGCCGACGAGATTGCGTTAGTATATCTCGACAAATATGATTGACTCGTCTCATTAGTTTGAATGTTATTTCATTTCTTATTATTATCATTTGTATGTATGTTGTGTTTATATTTATGTTGTATTGAGTTTGTTGTATTTTGGGCTTTTAAGTCTATGTAGGATGGGATATTATAAATAACCGTGGTAACATCATTGTCTGGCGGTTATTATCAGATATTGAATGAAAATTATCGTGTTCTTCGTGAAACTTCTCTATACACAATCTTCCATCACAGGTCTGCTGCATCACATTTTGTAACTCAATACGGAAGGATTGGCTTCTGAGGATTTTAAGTAAAAAATATGAAGAAGCATGCTTCTAACTCAACTCCCAAATGTCATTTTAAACTGATTTAACTTATACTTGGTATATACCACTAGTTAGTTCTTTCCTACCCACGATCATCGAATTAAAATGATTCCTCTTAGTTGTTAGATGATAATGTACCAAGCATATTCGGGAGCACAAAGTGCTTGTTGATAATTTCTTGTTTTGATTTGATTAAAAATTTGATTTTTTAGTTATTTTATTTTTTTGCAGTAAAATCAGTGGCTGCTCCAACAGAATCAGTTGCTGGCTTTGATGAAATGGTGTCTGGAACTCAACGTAAATATTACATGCTCGGAGGAAAAGGAGGTGTCGGGAAAACTAGCTGTGCTGCTTCACTTGCTGTCAAGTTTGCAAACAATGGTCATCCTACCCTTGTGGTTTCAACTGATCCTGCACATTCCTTGAGTGATTCTTTTGCACAGGTTCAAATAGAATTTGTTTCTTTCGATTTTAGTATTTTCATCCTTTAGGGGAAGTAATCAGTAGAAGTATGCTTGTGGTGTGTGAAGGATTTGACTGGGGGGACGCTAATGCCTGTGGAGGGTCCTTTTTCTCCACTTTTTGCCCTTGAGGTTAGTGTAAATGCGTTTCTTTGGGCATGATAGATGGCTTTAGTCTCTTATGAGATTGAACGAGACATTTTACATTTGAAAAAAAATAAATCTGGGGTAGCCAATTTACTGTATTGTCGGCACAGATAAATCCTGAAAAGGCAAGAGAAGAATTTCGGAGTGCCAGCCAGAAAAACGGTGGAACTGGAGTCAAGGACTTCATGGATGGCATGGGTTTGGGTTTGATTGCAGACCAGGTAGACCCATGTTCATTTGCGGAAAAATCATTTGTGTATATTACTCTAGTTCTATCTAACTCGCTTAGTAATTAGATGAGTATATTCAACTGGAAATTACTAATAGTTTTGAAAGAAGTACTGACATAGTTGGTCTTATCCTGTATTTTAATTTTCTATAATTATTATTAATAAATTGTAAATCAAATAAATAAGCTCAATTTTATTTTTCATTTTTTTTTAAAATAGTATCACTATTTTAATTTATGAATTTTGATATTAGTCGTGGGAAATGGCTACATTTAAAATTTAATTTTAGGTGGAATTAGGAATTGTCTTTCACAGTGGTTTAAAAACTTCACTCAGTAGCAAGACATGAAACATATTTGCACTTTCTATTGATGTGCTAGTAATTATGTCTTCTTGTTCTGTAAATCCTTGAAAATTAATGCCTCTGTTACGTTTTAAGATCTGTTGTGGCACGATTGCATATGGGAATTAGTGACATGTGGTTTGCCTTTGTTCCGTAAATGACATCGTTTCATTTATTTATTGTTTTAAATCAAACAACAGGTTAGCTATTGATGATGCTTTGCTTCTAACTCCATGGTCCATGCTACCTGTGATTGGTAGACGGGGAACTTTTTCTGGCTTTTTACTGAAGTATAAACTAGTACAAAAATACATGGGTGTTTATTTAGGAAATTCATATTTAAAGTTATGTAAAAAAGATAGAGAGAAGTATTTGTTTTAAATTTTAAATACTTTTTGAAATAGTTGTTTTATAATTTACATTTAAAATGACACTTTTCCCTTCTACGATTTACCCACCGCTATTATAACAATTTTCTAACTTATATCAAATAATGACTTTATAAATATATTTATTTGATTAATAAATATGTTAATGTTTATTATAAAGATAGATATGATCATCTATTTTATATATGCCGTATTGATGTCAAGTCGAAACTCATGAAAGATGATTAATTTGATATATCATACGTGAAAAACTTATAACCACTACAAGTGTTATTAACTTTTAAAAATATTTATAATTAAGTTAGCAAGTGTTTGGTAATTTTAAAACCTAATAGGCATATATAGAAGTCCGGACCTATCTGGACTACTTCGAACACCAAAAATTGACATATAGGATTGCGAAGCACCAAAAGTTGACTCATTGGCTCAGGAAACTATAAAGGACAATATGCCACTCATTGCAGTAATTATCGCTTGTGTAATAAAATGTGTTAACATTAAACACTTCATCCTACATGAGGTATATCGATTATAAAAGACATATCTTGCTGTACTTTTTGGGACTTTTATAACCCAAGTATTCTGTAAATTGCTTTGAATTCTAATTGAGCCTTTATATTATTAGTTTCTGGTCATAGGACGACAACCAAACCATCAGCCACTGTTTTGTTTCCCGCATCCATAAACTGATTGTTAGAATCTATTTATTACGGACTGAACTACATTGCTATAATTCTGTCAGATACCTTTCGTGCTTTGTGGTGCTTTGTCAAATTTATAGTGAAAATGGCGTTCCTACTTTGGGCTTCTCCAGCCATGCGCTACAATCCTACTCTATGCCAGAGTAGTGTGAGTATTATAATATTTAAAAAAAAGGACAAAATACATATTTTATTGAAATTAAAAGATACAACACACAACAATAAAATAAATGATCCAAATCATAATAGCATAATTTGATTTATGAGAATATTAAAATTTATGTATAATTAATTGAAATTAATAATTCTAGAGTAAAATGTGGAGTAAAGAGTTGGCGACAAAATATGAATTTGGTATTAACTCTACTCTCTAGAGTAGACGACTGGACATGGTCTTAGGTTTTGCCATTTGATTTTGATGGTTGTGATCATTATCATGTTATGTCGGCAGAATCAACCACAAGCACATTATTTTCAGTACAAAGAGGCTTGAAATAACAACACAACACAGTTTTTTTTTTTTTAAATGCTGTTACATTTGCATCTTGTTAGAAAATTTATATTTTTCTTTTTATATATCAATAGCTTGGAGAATTAAAGCTTGGTGAGTTGCTGGATACACCTCCTCCAGGTCTTGATGAAGCCATTGCAATATCAAAGGCATGCCTGTTGTAAAATTAGAAAATTTTGCTGATATTCCGTGAGTAAAAGAATTTTTTTTTTTTTTCTTCCAGTACTGATTTGAAGAACACTTCTTTAGGTTATTCAATTCCTTGAATCACAAGAGTACAACATGTTCACTCGGATAGTGTTTGACACGGCCCCCACGGTGAAGACAATTATGCTTCCTTTAATATAGCTCCATTTATCATCAAGGGTCCATTTTCTGATGGGCTGTTTTGCAGGGCCACACATTACGACTTTTGTCATTGCCAGACTTTTTGGATGCATCCATTGGGAAGATACTGAAGGTAAAGATAAATGTATCATGCATAGTTTGTGTTCACTTACCTTCTCTTTTTGTAGAGTAAAAAACATCGCTTGACCTGATATTCTATTTGTACATTCAATACAGTGAATTTAAGGAATTTATGAACTGAAACACATCAACAAATGAGGATGAAAACTAATAGTCACCTGCATTAAGTAAATATGAGTGATGTTCCATTGTCGAATAGGACTTCTGTTAGTGGATTCCTTCCCTGTCATTTTTTTTTTTTCTTGGCTATGAACTTTTAAATTGGGACTGATTTGTTCACTTAATTTGATGTGTACACCAAAGTAGTAAACACCATAATCCAGGGTATTAACTACCAACAGTTTTTCATTTTACATAGACAAACTGTTTTTGGGATGGCCACATGGTTTAGTTATCTTGACTCGTGGCATAATCATAACATGAAAATTGCTGTATATATCTCACAGAAGAACTGCAATATAGCATTTTTACTGTTGATTCTCCTTTCGGTTTGTTTCTCAACTTCTATCCTCATATTTTCTGCCATGGCATGTTGCAGTTAAAGCAGAAGATATCTTCAGCTACTTCAGCCATAAAATCTGTCTTTGGCCAGGAAGAAAACAGACAAGATGCTGTAAGCGTCATTTATTTCCTTGCGGCATTTTGCTCTGTTGGACCCTAACATAATTTTGTCTATATGTTAGGCTGACAAATTGGAGATACTACGGCAAAGAATGATAAAAGTCAGAGAGCTTTTTCGTGATGCAAACTCTACAGAGTTTGTAATCGTAACAATTCCTACGGTAATGTAATAATCAGTGTTTTAAAACATACATAGCGTAATGCGTCGCGTTTTGGTCTTCGTAATGCGTAGCGTAAATAGCATTGCGTGTGCGTAACTATTGAGTATAAAAAATTATTATTACATAAATATTATAGATACTCATATAATAAAACTGGATGGTTGATTCTAAAAATTGTCATAATATTTGAATGAACTCAAAATAACATCTAAGATTTATTTCTTACAAATGTTTAATGTAAATATCATATATAAATATTTAAATAAAAAATCGAATATATTAAAAAGTAAAAACAAACAACAAAAATATAATAAAATAAGTCATAATTTAATTATAAGCATAGACATGTAATTAATTTTTTTAATTTAATTACAATTTAATTCTAAAACCACTAAATCTGAACTTTTTATTCTTAAATTTAAATGTCATATACCTAAATATATAATGATATAATGGACCTAGACCGATATATATTACATTATTCAACTTAGGACTTTGCATTCAAACTTTTAATTTGAAATAATTATCAAAAGTTTTAGCTTTTAGTTATCATTTAAAAATATAACTTTAATCCTTAAAAAATACAAGTTTTTTGAATATTTTATTATTTGAATGTCGTTGCAGAAATATAACGCAAAGTAGCACAAAATAGCGTAAAAAAATGTATTCTTTCAACATTGCGCGTAAGATTTTCGGGAAAATCGCTAAATATAAAAACCTACGTCGCGTTTTTTTGGAGAAAAAGCAATATAGCGAGCTATTTAAAACTGTGGTAATAATGCACCGTGTATTATTGTTTTAGATGAATCAAGTCAAAAGTAGTGTGTTACAAGTAATTGATCCAATCTGAAAGTCTTGTACTCACTTTTTGGTTTTTGCCAATGTGAGAATGCATTTGAAGTTTTATGCTACTTATTCTCTAAAAACAAAGGAAAATTACAGTAATGATCTAATGTAATTGTAAAAAACTCATGTTATCCTTTACAAATGAGGCTGTATTATAATTTCGAATATAGACTTATTGTAACTAGATACTACCAATATGACCTTAAAAAAACATAACCATAAAAAACATTTACATGTTATTTACCTTTAGAAACTGTTACAATGTGGGTTTCAAAAGTGGGCTGGCATAACTTTTTGGAGATTAATTTTTAGTCCCTGAAATTTGAATCTTATTCCGAAGGTGATGGCAATCAGTGAATCATCAAGATTGTGTTCTTCCTTAAGGAAAGAAAGTGTTCCTGTGAAGAGACTAGTTGTTAACCAAATCCTTCCCCCATCTGCCTCTGACTGCAAGTTCTGCGCAATGAAGAGGAAGGTATAATGTAGTTTGCTTGCTTTTTAGAGCTATTGTGCATTCCAAAAATATTCACCGCATATATTCTGAAACAATTACAAAATGATGAGAACATGTTTGTGTTTTTCCCCATCTATTTTGTCATAAAATGGAAAACTATTATTTTATTTCAGGATCAAACGCGAGCTCTCAGCATGATCCAAGATGATCCAGAGCTTTCAGGTTTGACAATGATACAGGCACCTCTTGTTGATGTGGAAATCAGGGGTGTTCCAGCTCTGCAGTTTTTAGGGGACATTGTTTGGAAATGAATACGTGCTAATAGTGTCAGCTTTTTTTGGTAAATTTCTTTTACTTTCTTGTTTAAGTTTCGTTTTCGTCTCGTCCAACTTTAGAAGTTATGCAACTTGAGTTGAAGCACACTGAAATGAGTAACATCTGAAGAAAAGCTACACGGGATTGAAAAAATAGATTTACTTTGATTGGTTACTTTTTTTTTCCACATTAAAATCCAGAATCATGAGATAAGTCCCGCCTATTTGATTTGTATCATCTTGAGATTTAAAATTCTTGTTTGACAAAATCGAAGATCATTGGAATAATCTTCAATTTTGATCATAGTTTCAAAAATAAGAACAAAAACAATAGAGAGGGGTTAAATAGTAAGTGTAATACAAAACAAATGTATTCTCTCTCTCTCTCTCTCTCTCTCTCTCTCTCTCTCTCTCTCTCTCTCTCTCTCTCTCTCTCTCTCTCTCTCTCTCTCTCATGGATTTATTTGGTTTGAAATTTTTATTTCTTTCTAATAATGCAGGTCTTTGTGGAGTCCTGATTGTAGCATCAACCCTGTCGCGTCTTAGACTTAAAAATCGTTTTTGGAATATAAATACAGCTGACAGAAGGAACCGGACCTACAAACAAGGGAAATAGGATTGAACATACTTAACTTTATTCAGCATTTTCCTTTTTCCTCTTTATACATAGCCGATTGTGTATGTGTATGCTGCAATCTTCGAGTTCGTGCTGCTGACTGATGGAATTTGCACTTTAAGAGCCTTTCATAGGATGTGTACAAGAAATGTTGTTAGATCCTACAATCCTATGTACAAATTGTGCTTCTTGCAAGGCCCTATTAGATCCTGCAAATAACAGTGTAATGTTGTATGTATCTGTGCTATTCTATTGCAATTGCATTATATTTAGCTGAGGTAGGATAAACTTCCTAAGATGATATCCATAGTTAAGTTATCTTTACAACCTTTGTACTATACATGCTAAAAAAGAACAAGGAAAAATTGTTCAATTCACTTCTTGTATGAAGTAGCGACTAGGGCTGCAAATGAGCCGAGTCGAGTCGAGCATTGGTCTTATCGAGCAGGATTGATTCTTTTTTTTTAATTGCTCGAGCTCGATTTTTTAGGCTCGAGCTCGACTCGAAATCACAATGCTCGAGCTCGGCTCGAGTTCAGCTCGAAAAGTTTTAAGTAGAAAGGTAAAATTACCATTAAGGACATATGTTAACATATATAAGGGGTATTTTAGTAATTTAATATGTATCTCGAGCCGCTCGACAAGGCAAAATATGGGCTCAAGCTCGACTCGAGTTCGTGCTCGAGCCGCTCGAACTCGACTCGAGTTCGTCAAACTCAAGCTTGAGTCGAGCTCGCGAGCCGCTCGATTCATTTGCAGTCCTAATGGCAGCCTAACAAAACCCCAACGCAACAATCTGCCCGCCAGGAGGGCTATACAGAAACTCGCCATATTACCTGAAAGACTGATTAGTTAGGTAGAATTTAACCCTAGAGTGCTCATACCGCGGTTCTACCTCTGGATTACGCGCACACATACACACCGTTATTGGTGTGTGAAAATCCGACGGTTGGGACCATGGTTTTGGCATTAGTGTGGGCAGTGCCACACCAGTAGGGTTAAAATCTACAACTGATTAGATAATGAGAATTTTAATTAGGCAAAATTACATCTGACATCACGACTTTATCGACTTTTGCATTTCCGTCACGACTTTGGGACCTTGGCACTTCGGTACCCAACCTTTTGTTTTTTTACAAAACGAAGCATTGCCCCGGTTGTTTTTGGCCGACTGATGCCAACATGTCCCAGCAATTTAATTGACCATGCTCACCCCTATAAGAAAAAAAATAACAAATCAAAAATAAAAACGTCGTTAAGTTGATATCGTGCTTGTTTTAGAGACTACAACGTGTACTTTACACTCCACAAAATGTTACAACATTCGATCAAAGAATACAAACTGTCCAACTAACATCAATCTCAAGTCTCAAGTGCCAAAAATAATACGTTCCCAAAAAAAAATGTAGGAAATAATGCAGGCTCATCTATTATCTTTAACTTTGCACGATATACAAAATCCACACTCCAACAATATACACCTAAGAGCTTCCTCCTGTAAGTTGATGCCGGAATCATCTTCTTCTACTCGACTCCATACTTAAGAAATTTTCTAAATCACTTTTTTTGGAAAGTTATCATGCCAATGAAAGCTATAGCACGGGAGGCTACGCCAGCAAGAATCAGCAAACATAAGCGGAGCCCCCAGTTACCAACGTTGTATCCATACCTCATCAGCGCACCACATCTCGTCAACAGCCACACGCCGTAATATCTGTCATCAAATAAATGGGTGGCTTGCCTTCAATTTTTCAAACAATAAAAACATTATGAAATCGCGGCATACCTTTCGGAATTTGCAATGACAAATGCTTCTAAGGCCCACTTTGGGTAACAAAAGTTGGATAAATTCCTTACGAAGCTGCTCGCATTCAACTGGGTTGAAATGAGAGTCAACACCACTGGGAGTAAAACCGAACACTGCAGAGAATACAAGGTCGGTCAGTCAAACCTTAAGAAATCAGATGACCTCCAATTAATATTTAATAACTAACTGTAAATTCATATACAATTACAGTACCAGCTGGGAAGGCCCGGGTTCAAGAAATATGGCCAAAGCATAACCTATGCCTGTCACGCAATAAACGAGGCATAGCAAGACAACATAGTTATCCACGAAGGATGACCTCGGATTGGTGAAGAAATAAAACATGGAGAGATAGATAACAGGCTTTATTAGGATGTTGAAAAGGTCGATTGTGTCCTTAGACACAAAATGAGCAAAGCTGCTAATGCCAGCTGCGCTTTCTCTCGAGTACTGTAACCTGTCCTGAGAAAACGATCTCAAAGCCGCAATCATGCATAACAGAGCTGAAAATTGGTTGATCAAACAGTAAACATTAATAAACTTGCGACTGGCATAACAAATTGGAATTGGAGTAAAATAGTGCAATTTTCCCCATAATGTCAAATTTAAGTACGTGGAACCAAAAATACTTATAGACTTACAGACAGCAATTAACGTGTATGTATAAGCAGCAAAACCAAAGGTTGCATCACTAGCCCTTGTGAGTGAACCCAAACAGGCCCCAGCTATTAAAAGGATCAGATAATCCACTGCCTGTGTCTTGGCTTCTCTCATCCGCTGCTTACTCAACCTGAGATTGACGTCAGATTTGGGAAAATAAAAATCAACTTTTGTTGACATAAAGCAGTTATCAACCAAGCTACGAAGAAACAGGCATTTAAATAGCCCTTTTGTTTATTCACATTGAAGATAGTAGAGATTGTATTATCAGTTTCCTTGTACATTATAAATAAGGTTCATAACCGAGATAACAATGGACAAACCTATCGGTATGGTTTATAGTAGATTTGAGTTAGTTTATCATAACTAATAAATTATACTTGCACACGTTGTGTATTGAAATGGAGCACGGAGGAGAAATTTATTTTATATTCACCAAGTAAATAAACTTAACCTCATGATATCACCCGCACTCTAAACCCGGATAATTATAACAGACACGTGTACTCAGTATTTATTTCTTTAATTCATCAAAGGGTGAAACTTATCCATTAAGTCAATAAGCTCGGTGAGATGTGGAATATTTATTGTTTACATAGTGTGCTGTTGATTATATTCAGCCACTATGTCCTGGTGCGCCAGCAGGGTAATGATGTTCCCAAAATTAACTCACCGGTTTGGGATCCAAATACGACAGAATTATAGCCAATGAAAGGTCAATGTAGTTGAGTGGTACTAGTTTCAGAAAAACGAAAGATATTAATTAATTAAATTGTCAATAATTAAAATAATTAAGGAAGCTCGATATTCATAAACATGGGGGATAAATCGAGTCTAGTGGAACCCCAAGTAATTTGAGTTTGGGAAGGTAGTGCAATTATAAATCTTTAGAAGATTGATTTATTATTCATATGCTAAGGAGCAGGGTGGTCCATAAACCAAGTACTACCTCCTATTCATTTTAAATTGTCATTTTGGCTTCATCAACTATTAACAAAATAAATAACAAAATAAACGACGTTTTGAGTTTTTTGTACATATTTTTCCATTATTACCTTCATTTAGCTAATAAATATACTACGTCTTTTCATATCCACTCTTTATTTTTTCCGAAAGCATCCATCTCTATCTTCATTAAATAGGATTATTATTGGCAAACAAAAATATTCTTAATTAATGTGCAACTTCTAAAAACGACACTTACTATGAATAGGAGGGAGTATTATTTTTCTATCAGGAGACCTAACTCTATCTTCGGTCCCTATTGTAGCCTATAAATGCACCATGTTGGAACTCCTAATTCTGATTCTCTTGGAAAAACACACGCCACCACTTCCTAGAGAGAGATAATCCATGAGTAAGAGAGAGGAGTTGGCCACGGTGTTCGAAGAATAGTCGCCCACACAACTTCTGAGCAAGATGAAGGAATACAACATAAGACTTTGAGGCCACGAGGCTACACATTTTCCTGGTCTCGTAGACCGTGTAAGCGACTTAGAATCGGCACTAATTATCAGTATAATTAATCCTACTTTTAGATCCGTTGCATGTTGGAATTAATTGTGCTAATTGGAATATATCATAGATATAAGCGTCTTAGAATCGGCACTAATTATCAATATAATTAATCCTACTTTTAGATCCGTTGCATGTTGGAATTAATTGTGCAAATTGGAATATATCATAGATATGCCATTTCTCGTAGAACCCAACATATAGTTATGGGACGATTTTGCAATTTGAAAATAACATAATTTTTATGTGATTGGACTAAATCTCAGCTGCAGTTTCTATTGTTAACCATTGAAAAACACAGTTCTATCGCTATTGCCAAAATCAAATTTCACACAAAAAGTTTGGAATCATTTACCTCCCAAGGAAATACTTGTACTGCAAGAAAATATTCGGGGTCCTACGGTAGGACAAGTCAGTGGACTTCAAAAAATTGTGCCTTATCCTATCATGCTTACGCTGCACGCTGGCCTTAACATCTTGCCATACTTCCCCCGCAAAGGATTGATCCTCGACGTCAAAACCATGGATGTGATCTGTAACCTCCGAACTTAGGATATTATGTCCGGAAGGATTGATTCTCATATCCGGAGGAACAGGATAGCCATTATGCAACATCCACCTCACAGGAAGTTCAGTGTAACTCACACCCGAACTCGAGCTCGTCTTAACCATCCCTTCCAAAATGTCAATAAAGTAATCTGGAGGATTCACGCGCTCCGGAACGTTGATCCCAAGACTTGAAAAGTATTCCTCAACTTTTCTTGCAGAGCCGTGATAGACGGTGAGACCTCCTTTGGCTAGGAGTACCAAGTCATCAAACATTTGGAACAATGTATAGCTGCAAACAGAGAGAAAAAGGAAAAAAAAAATACATTGTGAAGTAACACAAAAGGTGGAGATGGGAAAAGGTTTGTTGCTCAAATTTCATAAAGGTTATTAGGACATCATTATGGTTTATGGTTGTATTGTATTTACCTTGGTTGATGGACGACCATGCAGACATTGACCCCCACAAGAGCTTCTCGTCTAAGTGCTCTAAGAAGCAGCTGAGAAGACGAGCTGTCCAAACCAGATGTAGGCTCGTCTAAGAACAACAAAGATGGTTCCATAACTAACTCGATACCAACATTCACTCTTTTCCTCTGGCCTCCAGATATACCTCGTTTCTCAACAGTCCCAACTAAAGAACCCCGAATTCCCTGCAGTCCTAACGAGTCAATCACTCTCTCTACTATAAGGACCTTGTCAGCCTTCGGCAAATCTGCAGATAGTCTTCACATTTCAAAAGTAAATGAGACCTTCTCAATGATTAATTTAGTTTTAACAGCTATAAGCTGACATAACAATGAGTAAATAAAAATTTCTGTATTCAACTTGCATCCCAGAAACACAACATCAACATACCTGCACCGAGCACTAAACCACAGATTTTCCTCCACGGTCAAATTCCCATGCACAATATCATCTTGCGGAACAAAACCAACGATCTTCCTGTACGAATGAATCGAAACTCCCTTCCCATTAATCAAAATCGTACCGCTAACCGTGCACCCGACTGTTTTTCCTGCCAGAGCAGAAAGAAAAGTCGTTTTTCCGGCTCCTGATGGACCCATGATTGCCGTTATGCGGCGCGGCTTTATCTTCCCGGTGACATCCCGCATGAGACGCTTATGTTTTCCTTTTAGAGTCACAGTTACGTCTTTGAAATCAATCTCGATCAGTGGTCTTTTCCTTGTATCGCTCTTTGTGGCCATTGAAATCACGCCCGAGAAAGTCAGATTCTTGTTCTGCTGCTGCTCGGCTTTCTCTCTCTCTAGCTGTGAGTAAGCATACTTGAAAATCTGACTATGTGTATGAATTTCCTTTTCTTTATGAATTTTCTTCTTCACATTTTTATTCCGCTGCTCTGAATCATGAAGCTCGATGATGTGGTCATCTTCTTTTCCCGTCGATGAAGTGGTTGGATGCAAGTGATCATCATTTTCCTCGGGATCCAAAATCTTGACCTCATCTGTGCTTTTGAGGGACTTCTTCTTAGAGAATTTGCCCGAGAGTTGGGATTGTAACTCGATGGCGTGCTTTTTCGCAGCATCCTTAGCAGCCTTCCACCTGGCGCGAGCTTGTGTTTTCTCCCTGGCGGTTCTTGCAGCGGCTTCTCTGTATTTGGCGTATCTTCTTTCTCGCGTGGTCAGGATTTGATCCGAGCAGTTGTATATAATAAGCAGAATAGTAGTCAATGCAACCTGCAATAATGTTGTAATATGCATAAAAAGAGAACTCATTCTTGAAAAATGTTGCATTTTTTGGAAGTGTTGTTAAATTGAGGCGACTGACTTCAAAGTGAAGCATAAATTTCCTATTGG